AAATGCATTGTACGATGAAAAATTTTATTGATGAATAATTGCCCAATCTTCTGAGAAGCTCAAATATGCTACTCAGACTTAAATATTTTAACATCTGAACCTCTGCTGCAGCGTATAAGTTAAGGTTTTCGGCAGAGTTCCTAGACGAAGCCAAAACTGCAGTACAGGTGGAAAACAGAAGTTCTACGGAAGTACAGGCAGGCTGGCACATACAGTACTTTATGTGTTGAGAAAAATGTAGTGACGAACAGGGGGAGAAAAGAGCAGGTAAAAGCAGAGAGTGAGAATTGACAATGTGATGTGTGATGGAAATAATTCCCACTCCATATCACACAGGGATCCAGCGCTGCTCTCTGCTCTGCCTCACATCGTCTCTACTTTCTATTCTCTATCCGTGCTGCCTACACCTTGGTGCTTCGATTTGTTCTCGTCTGTACTTTCTGCTGTGTAAGATTTTCCTTTGCCTGATCATATTCCTTATTCTGTCTCTTCTGTTTTTGTCTATTACATCTTTTATCATTTATGGTCAATTTTTTTAAAGATAAAGATGAAGATAACAATCGTCCAAGCTGCAAAGAGAAATACATTCTAATAGGATTCAGTGTTTGCCAGTAAAGTTGACAAAGTTAGAACAGGAGGGAAACACATTCATTCTGTTTGTTAGTGGCCACGTAAATAATAGAAAACATACAAAGAGACAGGGGACACAACGCCTTACAAAACAAGATGGAGGATTCACTTGCCTTTGTGACCACACTTGATTCTTTTAGAATCCAATCTACATTGAATATTGAATAATGTTAAACAATCGGGATAAAACAAAAAGAACTTTTCATTGAGGTGGGCACACTGTCTTTTAGGATTCTTCCAATCAGCCTGATTTATAACATAAGAAACTAGAGATGCACCCAAAAATCAGGTAGTGATTGGAATCAACAGATTTTTATTTTTTTTTTTTTTTGATTGGCCCTGGTTTGTGACGAACTGCTTGGAAATTTAAAGGTCCAAACTTTTTCTGATCATCAGATATGCTTTGATGTGAAAATGTTAGTGAAGAAGACTCAGACTTTGCTATTTTCAATAGCAAGTTCTAAAATGAAGTCAAAGGAGGTATGGAAACATTAAAATGGGATCAATTGTTTTCATCATATCAAGTGCTTTAATCATGCTGCATGACAGCGAGAGAGAGCAAAACTTCAAGTAGGTAAAAAAAGGCTAAATAAAATACAGCGTCATTTTTTTAGCCATGATGGATGTGAAAATGGTGAATGTTTTTTATAAATTTCACAGTTAAGCTCGGGATCTAAACTCTTGACAGAATACAAAAAAAGTGCTGTTTTAGTCACGCTGGCAGCACTAGCCACTATAATAGGATGCTAAAAACAATTTAAAATGCAAAATTGTGCTTTTGCTTTTTTTTTTTATATGTTCTGATGAGAGCGGTAACATTGACTGTTACTAGTAGCCTCTGCTACTAGTATGAACTAGTACTTACAGCAGAAAAAGGCAAGAAAGCTGATAGTGATAGTTGACTAATGACTATTTTAGCAAAAGAAATACAGAAGTATGGTCAAGTGATTAAAAAGAAAGTGAAATACAGACACTTTACCAAAAGACAGCAAAAGTAAATATTGTTGTATTAGGCATGCTTGACTTAGATCAAAATCCAAGGTAAAAATAATGAGGCTTAAATATTTCAAAGTCCTCAGAGACACTAATAAAACCTAATAAATTAGGCCCTGGAGCACCCAGGCTCTAATTTAAAATTAAAAGCTCTGAAATTAAAACTAATAGCTCTGAAAACAAACAATAAAATTATAAAGTCATTTAAATTGATTAAAGACATCAGAAACTAATTGCATTGGATGGTCATAACTTTTGAATTTTTTTCTTTTAAAAATGGAGATTTGAAATTAACATAAAAGTTCTAAATGGTGCATCTCTGTTACAAAACACCAGATCTGACATTGTTATTGATGTTGCCTCACTTTGCTATCACAAAATATGTTTGACAAAATAATGTAGCTCTAAATTTCTGAGTCAAATGTCTTTAATTATTTGATGCAGTGTATCTGAAGTTATCTAAATGAATCCACAATCATTTATTCAGTTGTTTTACACAGATCAGATTCGCTGGTGTTAGATATAACTCAAAATAATTGTAAAAAGTGACTACAGGAAATTCATTTTCTAAATTAAATTTAAAAATGGTTTGTTTCATGATTAGATCACATGCAGGATATGGATTAAAAGAAGACAGCAAAAACAATGTAGCAAAATCTGACCCTCAGCTGTTGACAAAAGCATCTGAAGAAGAAAACATTGAAGGAAGGATTGAAAGAAAATAGGGAAAAAAAGAAAAACTTTAGTGAAACTAAAAATAAGGTGGGGAGAGGGAAAAATCTAGTAAAAACAACAAAAATACTGAAAATATTCCAGAGAGAATATGAACATGTACATATTCAGACACAGCATACAGGACATTTTCCCCTCAGGCTCATAGATCATCAGCAATTTGGGAAGGGCAAGTTTGTTCACTAAATATTTGATGGGCACCCCGAGCTGCAGTGAGATTAAAAGATTAATCTTGGCAGCAGAGATGTGTTTATCGGCATGAAACTGTTACTGTGTGTTCGGCTGTGTGTTTATGTGCATGTGCAGAACAAAGAACTAAATGAATATTGAATAAACAGCGTTCAACAATTGACAGCACTTTAAACAAACAGCGCAGACAGAGGAGTGAAATATCAATAAACTAATTAAGTTTATTAGAATATTTAAGAGGGCTTACCACATATTTAGCAACTAATTGTCATAATGAGTAGCACAGGCGATACATTACCTATTTATTCAGCTGTATTGGACAGTATTTCCACAGTTCCAAACTAAAAAAAAAGAAGGTTCTTTCTCTTGCTGACTTTGCTATTTTTTTTTTTTCAGAAATAAAAACTAGAAATGCTCAGTCAGCATGAAGCAGCAGATTTATAATCCAAAAAAACAAAAACCCAGGCCTTACATGAGTCAATATGCTGGGATATTTGGCCCGTGGATATTTAGGTGCCCCCTGCTGTTACTACTGAATTAATGTGAACAAGGTCTGACACTGTCTCAGACAGAAGCAATGCTGCGGAATCAGCTGGATGCATGCTGACTTTGGGGAAGTCGTTTTTATTACTGTGGGGAAAACAAAAGCAAAAATGATTAAACTCATTTTAACGCTGGCCCCCCCGCCCCCCCCGTAAAAAAAATGAAGTGAAAGTTTTTACTTAGCAAAATCTTAAAAAACCCAGCCAGTTGAACTGAACTGAAAGAAAGTTTAACACTAAACAGGCGGAACACTACGACCACCTGCCTAATATTGTTTTGGTCTCCCTAACTTTATTGTTTTTCACATTAGAGACAAGCTTAAGTAGCCAGTGTTGTTCTCCTCTTCTGTCCTCAGTGTGGTCACTCTGATGGACGACCAAGGGCCACTTTAGGCAGCCTGGAGATTAGTGAACCAGTGGAGATTTGCTGAGGAGAAACGTAAAGCTGAGCCTAACAATGAATCTCACTGGCCAAGATTGTTTAAAGGGATAAGATCCTCACAAAGATCTGGGTCCATATGGGATTGTGGGCTTGTCTTGTGTGGGACTCTGTGCCTGTAACTGTGTGTGTGAGATAAGCCTCGTGGGTAAAGGGTGAGAGTGTGTGGTTTTTGTGTGCGTGTGAAGAATGGATGTTACGTGATGAGAAGGCTGCAGTGAAACTGTCAAAGCTAGGGAGACCATAAGGTCTTATTTAGAATCCTTTGAAGCTAGGCGGCTTTAAATGCAGAAGCTTAAAAAGCCTAAAAGAAGAGAGAAAAAAATGGATCTGTCACACAGAAGTCGCAAACACATTTGTGACCCCAAGGCAACCTGACCAGGGATTATTATTTATTTATTTATTACTTATTCTGTTCTGTTCCACATAACTAAGATTTCCTTCTAAAATGACACAACTTGACCACATCCAGACACATTTTTCCTTTGACAAAAACAAATATACTTTTCCAAGATGCAGGTCTTTAATCACTTGGATTGTAATGCATTCTTGTAAGCCGCACAAGCAGAGATTTTTAGAAACATGATGCAAGTAGCTGCTTTGCATCATGACTACTACTGCTGTCCATCCCTCAAGCCACAACAATCCAGCTGTTTTAATGTTTTATAGAGATGTAAAACATATTTCAATCAAAGCATTAGATGATACGCAATCAAGCAGCATTCATGTTTTCTTTGTGAAGTGCCATGACACAGCATGTGTTGTCAATTAAATTGAATCGATGTCATACTAAGCTGTTCTAATGCCAGAACTAGTTGTGAACTAGTCGTTTGTGAAAACATAAACATTTTTTATGTTTTCACAAACAAAATGAAAGCATGTTCCTAATTATAAATAAACCCAAAGCAAATTCTAAATAATTTTTTTATGTATATAAAGCGGAGCATTTGTTTGTTTATTTGGAGCCCCCATTAGCCACATCATAAAGAAAAAAAAACATTTATTGCAAAAACAGTTACACTCACTTAATATAACATTAGTAGCTTAGTATATTGATTCATAAATGCATCCTTTAAAAGTGAATATCATAATGCTCCACTTATTATTTTTGGTACTCAGAGAACAATGCTCATAAATATACTATTGGATAGACATGGGGGGAGGGAAGACAAAAAAAAAAAAAGACGCCCCAGTTCACATGCTAACTTTGGCTTTTAATACATACAATATTAGAAAAAAATATTCCTTTTTTTATATATTCACACCTGCCAATTTCGACAGTTAATTTTTCCTACCTGGTATCTATAATGCTGCTAAACTAATAATTGAAAAGTAGATTTTCCTTCAAATACAGAAAGATTTGTTTTAATAAAAAAGCATTAGAAAGCACAAGATTATCATAATCAGGATTCTGCTTTAAATCAATAATACCATTCGACTCAAGGAAAGGAAAAAAGCAATTTTTTAATTCTTACCAAAGTCGACAAAGGAGGACTGCCCGATGGTTTCTGTTGGACTTGAGACGACTTCCCCCTTGGTGAAAGCCCCATCCTGGGAGAACAACACAGGGAAAGAAGAGAGAAAAATAAAATTATGCAGCTTCATAAATGCTCATATATTTTTGCAAATGCTCAACTGTACTCTCGATTGTTTAGTGGCCATAAATAAATCAGCTTTACTTGAATTTTGTTTTATAGTCACAGACCCGGTAGATCAATAGGGCCAGACAGAGAAGAGGCATCATGATTACCACACCGAAGCATAAATGTTTTTCCTTCAAAAGAAAATGGCTTATGGGACATTGTAATGGACCATTTGAGGGGAAAAAAGGATAAGTATGACAATTGTGCATTAAAATTAGGAGTAGGCAGAGCCGGCACATATCCATAAATCTGATAGCAGGTGCTGAAACCCTACAGATACGACAGCCTTCTCTGCCTTTTTTCCCCATTTGTCTCTAAATGCAACATTACCTTTTTTCTTTTGCACACAATTAAAGAACTAAAGTTAAATTAATATTGCACTTGTAAGAAATGCATCAAAATGAAATGATCTTGCAGAATAAAAAGAGATCCCACACTGTTGAAAAATATTTTAAATGATCCAAATTACAAACATGCACAAAGTGTTTCACTTATTGTATGCCTTTATTTTTTTGTCTGCTGTAAAATAAATGCGTAACATAAAAAAATATATTTTTTTCCCTTTAGTAATTTTTTGGTATTGTTCCAAGTTTTATAAATAGTTTAAGTCAGAATCACATGACCTCTGACCCTCCCACAGTATTAAAAGACTGGGTCAATTGGACCCTGCAAGGTTTTTACCCTGTGTGGGGTCTGGTGGGGTCATACTGACCAAGCGTGCGCTTTTACGAGATTTTTTTTAAAATTATTTTTATCTACTAAGACCGCCGGGCAGATAAATAGGCTGAACTTTTACATTTACAATTTTCTATTTGCTGGCAGAAGCAGCAGAGTCTAAAGACATATTCCCTTTTCAAGGGTTTACACAGTCCAAGAGAAACACAGAGGATATTTATAGCAAAATTATGAACATATTTAAACACTGTACCATTGGTATATATGTGCAATATCCATGGCAGGTGATAGCTGTGGGGCTCATACTGTACTTTGTTTTTATGTCCTAATAACAGACGGCAGCTCGGCTTTCAGTGTCAAAGGTCAGAGAATATCTTTATTTTCCTGTGTTAAAGCAGCGTTAAAGGGACAGTGGCCCAGCAATTCATTAACACTGTCACACATTTTGCTTCGGTGAATGAAGCAAAATGTTGAAGATCTCTACACTCTGTTGGTTTTAGGCAAAAATGAATGTTACAAATGAGAGTTCCAGAAATAATAAAAAAATGTGCTTTAAATTTACAGGTACGTCTAAAACAAACTTGAATAACTAATATTTTTTGTCACTCATTTCAGAAAAGGGAAACTTGGGTATTGCATAGATGTATTATATATATAGAGTGAAATATTTCAAGCCTTTACTTTATGCAGTTTTGATGATTAGGGCTTACAGAAAATGAAAACTCATAATTCAGTTTCTCAGAAAATGAGAGAATTATAAAAGATGAATAGGGTATTGTCAAGAGGAGAATGAAAGACACCAGACCCAATAGTGCAGACGACATACATAAAGGCTGCTATTAAAGCAACCTGGGCTTCCATTACACCTTAGCAGAACCACAGAAATATTCCACTCTACGTGGAATGAATCTGTGCAAGATACAAGTGACAAAAAGTTTGAACTTTCTCACAACATCATAATTTTCTGAGCTGTTTCTGGAAGAAAGGATAAGCTAGATACTAGATAAGTAGGAAAAGCAATGTGTTTATGCACACACATGCACTGAGGGATATATGTGGTCTGCTGATAGCAACATTAGGTGATTCATGAGAGAATCCACCAAAGGCAGAAACAGAGACAGGAAGAGGGATAAAGACAATGATTTACTAAGACAGACCTGAACATTCATTATCAAAGAGATAGAGATAGTAAGAAGATTAACCAGGTAAAAAACAGCTGCTTGCTAGAGGTGTAGACTCTGTTGAAGATTTAAACTATTTTTACCCAACTGCTAACATCTGGTCGTGACGGATGTAATGTGCCAACTAGAGCATGAAGGAAGCAAAGCTATGTTTACCGGAAATTGCGTGCGCTGTAGACAACCATCCCACAGTGTGGAAAGAGAATTACTGAGCCGAACAAGATGACTGTTAAAGCTGTAAGCTTGAAATGCATTTAAATGTCTTAAACATTTCTTTTGCTCCAATTTTAATTGCTCAATATTTGGAAGTGAGGCCAACATGGACTGAATGGCTTTGTTTACTTTCTTTGAACATCTGCCAAACTATGACCATTGGCAGACAACAGCTCTAAAGCAGCACAGAAAACAAAAATAATTGTTCAAAAGTCATCCCTTTGTGTGCTGATTGGCCCGGTTGAAACTCAACTGCAGAAATCAACCTCAGCGGGAGAAATTCCAGAAGGGGCGCTAAAGGGAGATGAGAATCGAGAAGAACTGCATAGGGATGGAATGTCCAGGCTAAAGACGTGTGTGTGAGTGTGTTTTACTTGATGCAATGCGTTGTACAAAATGAACCAATAAAATGCAACAAACTCCAGTCTCATTTTATTGTCTAGATGTAAACAAAGCAATTCAGCATTTTCTCTTTAAGAAATATGCTGCTCCACTTTTTACCTCCCTAGCAAAAATCATAAGTTGCTATGGCCATCAAAATAAGACCATGAAAGTCTATAACTTGTAATAAGCACTTCATATTTATAAAAGTATATTGACTACAGTTAATAAAACTCAAAATTGTATTTCATGAGATGAAAAGACAAAGCATGGTCAATAAATGCTTGTCTGTTTAACAACACTGGACAGATCCTGGCAATAAAGTAGAGGAAGACCAACATAATAATGCAAAGCACCATCCATGGTATTGATTTTCTGTGCTGAGAGAAATTCCACAATGCCACAAGGATTAAATTGCCAACAAAGGCAATTTAGAGGGAAGTCTTGGAACAAACATGAACAAACAGTCTATCAGACGGAAACTCAATCTGACGAATTTGATCATAAACTGAAATGAACGCCATAAAATATCATTTTTGGATGTTCAATGTGTATGAAGTAGTTATTCCAAAATGCCAATGAATTATAAACCACAAAAGCACTTTCTTTCCCCCACCCCAAGATTTATACAAATCACTGAAACTTGGACTTAGTTTGTTTTTGCCAAAATATAGTTATAAAAATGTAATATCTCAACATGGTGTGCCATAAATCAGGAAACTATAAAAAGATACAGAGCAGCAGAAAGAATGACTCATGATATATTTCTGTAAAACTTTTTTCACTTTACTTAGGCTTTGGGAGAGAAACAAATTGGGAACACAAAGGGCCAATCTAATCATCTTCCAAAGATTTGCAGCACCAACAGAAAGATGGAAGGGACTGTACAATTTTATGAATAAGAAATGTATCGGTGTGGCAGCTTACACTATTCAATACCACTGCAAAGAAAACCCAAATACTCCAAATCTTGCACTTTTTGGTACTTTTTAATGTTAGTTTTGGTGAAAAATTTGTTCAAATCAGGTGAGAAAAAAAAAAAAACACGAGTGAAATTAAGTGTTGATCTTATTATTTATTGTTCCAATCTATTCATCTGACCAAATACAATATTGACTACTTGGCCAATGTTCATCTGATGAAACATTGGTACTGTGACATGCATCAACAATGTCATCTCAATCATTTTTATGTGATTTTAAGGCCGTAGTTCACTGCTACTTATGGAATTGTTTTAGTGTAGTTTTGAAATGTGACAAACTGCTGTTGAGCATACTTAAAAAGTGTGGTGCAAAGTATTTCAACCATCCATTATAGAAACGACTCATCTCACTAACTCCCTCCTGAGACATTAAGATTAGGAGACTGATGACTAGTGTTGCCAAAGTAATTGTCCCGTTAGATTTATGTTGCCTCTTTCGAGTCAGTTAGTAATTCTATGTTTTGACATCTAAATGGGTTTTTTGCATGACTGCTCATCGCTTATAGGAAGGATAATCCTAATGGGCCACATATTGAGTTTGAAAACGTCATCAGTTTTATAAAAAAAAAAAAAAGTCCTTAAAAAATAAAGTTTGTGTTTCTGTGTAAAGACATGCTTGTTTTTGGAGAAAATGAAAACACCTACTTTGTATGATGAGTCAAAGTCACCATGAATAAAATAATAATGAAACTATAAATTCTTAATACGAGTCAAAAAAGCAGTACAAATACCTTCTATACTGGAAACCACTGGAAGTGTATACAAAGGCAGAAAAACATAGCAGTAAAAAAACACTTTGACATTGACCAAAGTCCAGTTCAGCTGAAGAACACAGAACATTATTATTATTACTAAGCTGTGTCACTGCTAGCTTAGCATACTTGTACCAGTGGGGAATCTCTTTAACGGACTTCAGAACATAGACAGTATGCGTCAGTGTCTGTATGAATGTGTATGTTCTCAGCACTTCGAAAATTTTATCTTAAAACTGACATGAGTACTGCTTTTTACACAAAGCTTTCCCCCTTTATATTAAAGTTGTGTAAATAAGTACAGTTCAGAGATACCAGAGGAAAAATTGCTTGTTTCTTTTAGATTGGTGGTAAAACTCATCAGATACATCCCTTATTGATATGCATGATATTCTGTTAGCTATTTGGCTGTCATGACCAATAGGTTCTTTCCAAATTCTTAGTAATACAGTTTTTTATGTCATAGTGATATGATCTAAAACCCAAATCATGTGGTTCAGCTGGACCAGACCTGAGACCTCATGTACAAATGGTTAGCATACACAAAAAACTTGATATACAACCTTTTCCACTCAAACATTAACTGATTGTGGAAATATGCTTACTTTATAGATTAGAAATATACAAAACTGTGTTTCTTTTATCAGGAAGAAACTAAGGAGTTTGCCCCACAGTTAGCAACAAGTTCCTGTCATGAAGTGACAGTTTGCGGTGGTGAGAATGAACGCAGAGATCCAGGTACTGATGAAGATGATGATGAATTTAATGATGAAAGTGGCTCAAAAACCGTCCAGATCAGGCAGCACGGCAGAGACAAAAGCACACAGCTAAATACCGGTACCAACTGGCACAAAAACTGAACATGGAGCAAAGTAGCCTCAGGACTATACAGTTCGACTGAGAACTACTGACGACAAGCTACATACAACGAGGACCCGACAAGAGACAAAGACAACAGATGTGTTTAAATACACTGGGAGGGTGATCAAGGAACGAGACACAGCTAGGATCAATCAACAGGGGAAGACGCAGAGACAGAGACTCACAGGACAGAAACTGAACACATAAAAACCTTACAATAACTACACAGAAACACAGATCATGACAGTTCCAAAGCGAAATTAAGTTTTAGCCTTTGCAGAAACTAAAGTGTGCTGTTGAGTTAACCTTCCGCATCATGTTGAATGCACTGAATTCTGACAAAGTTCAATTATGGTGGCACTTTATTTTTTTTACTTAAATTTTCCTTGGAGTGTGTTAGACAAAGAGTTCCACCATAACAAAAGAATAAGAGGTAATGATTGCATAAGCACTACTTAATGTACAAAACTACCACATTTCCAGAAGGAAATGTCCATTCGTATTTAATGAGAGTCAAATTAATTAAAAATAGTTATCAATTCAACTTCCTCTGAGCATTTAACATAGGGACGTGAATAAATCTTCATCAGTGCAGACAGAGTGTCTGCCTAGTGTAGCTTGAAATTAAGCAATGTCATTATCAGTCCACTGCAGTAACATTTTAATAGAGAATGCATAGGTTCCCATTCACACAGTCCTAACAGTAAAAGGTTTCATATAATTTTTCATATCAAGAAGTGGGAGCAACATGCCACTACTAGAAATAACTCTTCAAAATCATTCAATTTTTCTAACTTTTACTAATATTTACCAGACATACAAACAATATATTCTGCAGCAAGTAAATCAGGGTTTCTGGTCACTCATGGATTTATGGTGTCAACTTGAGTATCAGGGATGACATCTGTGTGATTGACTGGTGCTGGTTCCTTAATTGCAATTGAACATGATTAAAAAACTGAGCGTGTTTGAGGACGGCTAACTGATGTGTGAAGATTAAGGGATTACACGCTGTAGAATTGCTGATGCCGTCTGTTTGAATTACCCCAAATACATTTCTCTTTCATTCAGAGAGGAACACACATAGCTCAAATCTGAAAACAAAGAGGAAATATATTCTATTTTTAAATAAGTGTTGGTAAAAGCACTGTATTTGCTAATAGGTGATATGATAAGAATGTCATTATCATTGGATTAGGGTAACCCTTGATGGGCTGCATGTGTTCATGTAAGCTCAGTGAAACAAATCCTTTCATGTTGCTTTTAAGATCGAAATAATGATGCCAAGGCAGCTCAAATACAGCGATGGATAATATAAAAGCTGCCTTGCTATTTTCTTTGATGTGATACTAAAGAATACTCTGGCTGCACAGCTTGGTCTATTTACTGTCACAAGGAATTAAATTTACACTAACCACTGGCAAGGAAACGGGAAACAATGAAAAAATGTTTTGTGTTTTTTTTCCTCCTGAAATATAACCCAAAACATTTCTTGCAACTTGCTTCCGCTACTCTGTGTTTAAGATGAATATTTTATGCGTTTCCCCGCTTTTTCTTTCTCCTTGGTGAAATGGTGAAATTACAAAATTGAAAATCAGAACGCTGACATGTTTGTGCAGCAAAGCGCAGTTTGTTCCGGTGTCACCAATTGAATCTATCATGTCACAGACCTGACCTTTGGCACCGCTTGGTAACTCGCTGGCCGATGCGTCTCTTTATATATCGCCTACTTTACTTCCACTGCTGTGACTTTCCTCTCTTGTGTAATCATGAGAAAATAGTGGAACGGGCAGTGATGGAATAAGACTAAGGCGGTAGAAAAACCGAGGCGATTAATTAAAAAAAAGTGGTGGAAGAAAAAAAAAAAACAAGTGAGAGTCTACTGGCCTGTGACCGATAGATACAGCTGAACAACATGAAGGGATTAACAGTGGTCTAATGCTGATGGCTTGCTGGGAAATGGCCTGGTCTTCCGTGTTTGACTATATTTTCCCAAGCGTAGGAGTGTGCAACCAGAACAGCTTTTTTGTGTTTTGATATTAGGGCTTGTTGGTGTATGTGATGAATTGGTGCATTGAGGATGAGGGTCATTAGAAAAAAGCAACACAACACAGCACAGAGAAAGCTTGCATGAAAGGAAGCAATTTGGCTTTTTTAATGAGAAGAAGTTGAGAATAAGATGGCGGTCATTCATAAAGTGAAGAGGATTTATTTGGATAAGGAAGAGGCCCCATTCATCTGTAAATCAATCTGTACCCTCACTTTGTCTAGCACCCAAACCTGGGCTCAGTACTTTGTTCCACTTGATTTTAAAGGCTTCAATTTGCAGAGCAAGTTATCCTTTGGCACACTGGATAGACGGACAAGGGAACTGAACCTTTTACATAAATGAGAAAAGATTCAGATGGTTTCTTTTATGCAGAATAAACACAAATGGAAAAACATTTTGCCCAGACTGACTAATAAACTGCTGTTTTAGCTTAATCATTGGTCTATTAAGAACAACCATTCAGCTAATTCCCTTTCTGCTAAACTAAATCAAATAAACTCAGACTAAACTCAAATAAAATCAGATATGTGTTAATTAATTTAACTTATTTACTGACCTGGACAGAAATAAAGTGGAAAGTAGGCCCATTTAGATTTGCTATCACACTGACATTTATTATGTGAAAATGTCATCTGTCCAAAAAAATTCAGATTGGCTCAGACTCAGATATGAGAACAGAATTTAGGGTCTCCAGTAAATGAAAGCTGCTCAGTCAACTTTTACTATTCTAGATGGATTTTTACAGATTTGTTTTACACTCTTAGATATTACACGCAGTATTTGAAATGTGTAAAGAGCTCAAAGTGCTGCTAGTAAGACCTAAGGAGCCCATATAAATGTAGATAAGCTGCAAGGAAACTGCCAGGCAAAAATAATAAATGAAAAGTGAATGCTTGGGTGTCTTTATAAAGAACATTTATTATGACACATCCAGGGTTTAAGTAACATATGTGAACTCTGTACTTACTAATACCTGGAATGCTCTAATATGCTAGGACATCACTTATTTTGCAACATTACACTTTTAAAACTTCTCTGATATAATTTAGCATCTTAGCAGATTAATATTTGCATTCACATATCTGAAAAATGTATAAAAAAGTTTGATCTGAAAAAACATTAAAATTCTAGAACTATGAGTGAAAACTCCCCTTCTTTCATGCCTTTTTTATTTTTATTTTTTTATTACTTAAACTGTTCATTCCACCCATCACACATCTGGTCTTAGAGCAGAGAGGTAAGTTTGTTCTGTTTTGCTCTTGCTTGATTTTCTTTCCTCCTCCCAAACATTTTAATTTTGCAGAAACCCTTGCTCTGTCTCTGCTTCAACGCCCTTCTTTCCTCTCTTTTCTTTTTCATATTCCCTCTCTCTGTGATAAGATAAAGTACTGTCGGGCTTCTGAATCAACCTGCTGCATTTCAAACAGGCCCCTCTGACAAAAACCAAGAGCCATGGTCTCCCCTTCCTGCTCTCCTAGAATATCAAGTAGTTGGGTAGCAGTGCCAGGAAATCCAGGAAATCCCATGACACGACCAATGAACTTATTTCACTTTATATGCAATAGTTTTGATTGTTTTTACTTGAAAGCTATAAGACCAACGCGTTTACACATTTCCCTGTTTATTTTAGATAGATTCATCTGGGTCAATGGGCCTCATAAAATTATCTACATCTGTAAATCAGGTAAGATAATAAACATTTGTTACCTTATTTAGCCAGGTCTCAAAGTTCCCACCTTCAGTTGTCAGGAATAAATCTGTTGTAGGAAACAAAGGTGAGAGAAAAGAGAAGGCACGTTATTAGAAGGGATATTGTTTTTCTATTTGGTAATTATTCTTCAAATAAAATTGTTGAAATGACAGCATGATCAAGCCCGGGGAAAACCACATATAAGAGTTTTGCTACTGTAGAAAAACTAGAAAAATCACAATCAAAACCTGCACATAAAACTACATTATTTTCCCCTCCAATTATTGCTATAACCGAGGAGGAGAGAGTCAACTAAATAAGTCAGAACTTCACACCCACATTCTGCAAACTGAATAAAAACAAACTAAATGCAGAAATGACTGCAGGCTGAAAAGAAAAAAAAAGAAAGCAGTTTTCTCCGACTTAATTTAGCTGATGGAAATTCCATTTATTTTATTTATTTACTGTTAAACTTGCACAGGAGAAACAAAGACTGATCAAAAGACAAATCATGTTGAATCAAGTTTGCTGAGAAATATTTTTGGTATAATTGATATTAGCTGATGTACACAAATAAATGCAGTACAATTTTTTTTACATGAACTCTTTCGTGTTTATAGACGAATACCATTAGATTGATTTTTTTCTAAACAAACTTGTAGATGCCCCAAAACATCTATTGCTCGAGTTCCATTAGTATAAACTGCAACATTTTTAAAGTTCATCTGTCAAGAATAAATTAAACTGCTAGCAATTGCAGTGTCACCTGATGACTCACAGAACCTGCTGATGAACTTTTAAATTTAATATGGATGACAGAAAACTTTCAGATCAGTGAGGACAAATGTGAAGTTCTAGTACTTAGCACAGCCAATCAGAGAAAGGAACTGTGTAATTTCAAATATTGATGGTAAACGTTTCAGATTAGGTAAAAAAAAAGAAAATCTGCTTCATATTTGAGCAATGTCGCATCAGAAAGAATACAAGAATGAACTGAATCCCCTAAAGAATATTACAGCTATTTATTTTAGACAATACAAAAATGCAAAACATACACATTCATCACAAGAAGAATAGATCCTGCCATACTTTGCTTCCTGGCCTTCCCAAGAGGAGCACAGCTCCGTTATGTAAGGAAACAGAAATATCAGAAAGAGGTAGTGTGTTAATGAATAAAAGAAGCTTAATTACACAGTAATCTGTAGTATGTTTTTGTATGAAAATCTATTAAAGATTCCACAATGAATTAGCTTCTTTGAGCAGTCAGAGGGAAAACCAGGTGAAGAAAAGGGGGGAAAAAAAATACATATAATGGAGAAAATATGGTGCTCGGAGCAACAGGATTTCTCTGAGCTTTCTCAGGTCTTCGCCCCCTGGTAATGCCTGTAGCTTTCGCTATTGGAATCTTATAACCCTGCACTTGTACTCATATTGCCTGTGCTCGAAGCTTCGAGCTGCAGGCTGCACTTTTAATGCGGTTTTCTGTGTGCTTCTCTGCGAGACGACGATTACTTTAATCGCCGTGTTCTGTGGCTCTGCCCCAATAATTGGACATGAAATAAATATCGCCATTGATCTGCCTCAGAGCAGAGCTGGGCTCAATGCGTTGCAGAGCTCTGCATAGAAGAAGAAAAAAAAAAAAAACATCTGAGTGATAATGGATTGGGAACAAGGAAAGTAGGAAAGGTTGTTGCATTAGTGAGGGAACAGTGGAGGTCCTGCATAATGAACATGGCAACAGCAGACATTTTACATTGAGTGATTGCCTCCAACGCACATGCTGTCGCCAGAAGCGAGTTTAAAGCACAGGGGTGGGATTGGTTAGGAATGATGTGTGAAACTATAGACCCACATCATTCTATAACTAAAGAATAGACTTTAAAAAACTTTAGTTTAGAAATCGTTGAATGGCAGAGTACCACAACGCTTTAAAAGGACAGAATTGTGTAAAATCTACTTTCATCATGTTATAATGTTATTCCTTCATCAAAAGCATACATGAGTGTTGCCTTGACGCACTCATTAAGAGAAATCATTTGATCCTGTCGTAACTATTCAGCTGTACAAAATGCCTCACGTGCGACTAATCCATTCAGCTCCGTCAGACTAGCCAGAAGCAATTAGCAAACACCTGGTGGAACTGGGCATCTGCTAAGCTCATTATAGAAGCTACTTCTCAGTGAAAAGCTGGTAAAAAAGAAAAAAAGAAAAAAAAAAAAGAAAAAGTTGTTAAAGGATTAATAGTGGTGCGACATTGTGAGGACTTCCTGAAGACAGATTTGTCAGAAAGAGCAGGAGTTTTTAAAGAGTTAGAGGCCCAATTTGTAGGTGTTAATTTACAAAGTCAAATTTCTTTTGAGTCATATTTGATATGTATAGTATTTTCATAACAAATGAAGGCAACATAGCTACTTAAATGTGCTATAAACTGGCACTATGTGCCTGGAAAATACATAATACTGCCCCTTTAAAGATCTGCTGTTGCATCAACCTTCCAGTCCTCTCAAGTCTCCTGGTTCTGGTTCTCTTCTGCAACCCCAGAACCAGAACCAGACATGGAGAAGCAGCATTCAGCTTCTTGCCACCTCAAATCTGGAACAAACTTTCAGAAAACAGCATAACTGCCGAAACAATCAAGGCTAAAAACCCACCTGTTTATAGTTCCCTTTGATTCATAATAACTAGAACAGTGAGCAACATGTTCAATGTATATTTGCTTAATGATTTTGATGATGGTGTTAGACAAAATACAATGTTTAGTGCTTGTTTCATAATTGTTTTTTTTTCTTATGTTTTTATGGTGTAAAACACGTTAAACTGTGTTATACAAAGAAACTTGACTATAGGACTAAATATTTCACAAGACTCGTGACTCACCTCCATCCTCACACAGACAAAGAACTTAATCAGGAGGCTTTTAATTTATTACTTGGGCCCAAAAATACCTCAGAATTCAATCACCATCAGGCCCAGAGTCTGATTAGAGAGTTTCCTAAGCAACAGAAACATCTAAAACATCTTAGAGTCGGGTATTATTCTGAAATATAGCTACATAGTTACATTCATCCTAAAACCTCAGCATCCCAACAACCAACTTTGGTGATTTATTAATAAATATTTTCAGATTTAGGATTTGATTGTTGTTGTTACCACAGCCTCAAACTAAATGCCTCTTCTTTTTTATTATTATTATTATTTTTTTTACAACCATTAAAACCCAGAATTTACTTTAAACTTCAAACAAGTTGTGAACATGAACTCAGAACATTTTACATAAACAAAGCAAGTAACCAATTCATGCATGCATTACACACACAGCGCAGGGTTCACACTAAAACGCTGGCTGTGTGTTTGTCCTTCTCCTCGTTGCTGTGTGCGTCCTGTGGCCGCTACGGGTGGCATCTTGATGAGCTTAGTTAATCAGCCAATCAGGCCTCTTAGACAGAATCCAACCGGGATTGGCTGATTAGCCGTGAGTCTGCTGATTCAGTGAGAGGAGCGTGTTGGAGCAGAGAGGTGCATACAGAGATCTTCATTTTGCAAACTCTTATTGCTGTGACTGTGGAGCAGGTCCTCTGCCTCCCCACCGATCGAAGTTAAAAGAGAGATGAACACAGACAGATCTCTGGAAAAAAAATCTGCTGTTGAGCCCGAATGAAAGACCTTTTTAACTTTTGTTCCTCAAGTCTTCCTTCATTAGTTCACTTTATAATAAACCCATAAAGTGCAAATTAAAGGAGCAGTATTATGTAAAATTGACTTTTTTTGAGCTTTACATCATGTTACAATGATATTCCCTTGACAAAAACATACATTGAGTGTTGCTTTGATTTTTTTCATGCATGTTTGAGAAATTCTTTAATATCAATGTCAACCTTTTAGCTGTGTAAAACGTCTAAGTAGTCCTAGCTCTACCTTCGAGGACGAAGGTAGAGCTGCAAGTTCCAGGTTTCTGAGCTTCTGCCTCACAGAGGAGACCCCACCTGCAATTACACCCCCTTAACACCTTCAGACTAGCCATCAGCAATTAGCAAACACCTGGTGGGACTGTGCATCTGCTGAGCTCATTATGCAAACTACAGCTAAAAATGTTATTAAAGGGTTAAAGAGGAGTGATGTGATGACTTCCTGAAGGCAAAGTTTCAGAAAGAGCAGGAGACCCAATTTCAAGATGTTAAATCAGGAAGGAACATTTATTTTTGAGTCATTATGGATATATACAGGATTTTTTATAACAACTGAAGTTCATTTTGTTACTTGATTATGCTATAAAATGGCACAATGTACCTGGAAAACCCTTCAATACAAAACATAAGTGGTGCCACTATTGTTCAATGTAACACAGTTTTACTTTTTTTCAAATTAAGAGACATCTCATAAATAAGGACAGAAAGACAGAGTCCTCCTTGTAATATTCTCATTACTTTAGCATATGCTAACATCGTTTAATTTCACAACCCGTTTCTGAATTGGCATGAGTGTCCTGGTAAATTGGGCTTGTGTTGTTTGTCAGGTTCAATATTCAAATTGACTCCCACTAAAGAGAAATTACCTTCAATTTACTGATAAAAAAAAAGAATCCAATTAGTGTCTGTTTTTAAATTATATTGATATTATGTGTAACAAGAACAGGGTTTGGGCTGTTATTGTCTTTAGAAATTAAGAAAGCCAGATTATTGTAAAAACAATTAACCCAGCACCTGGTAAAGTGGTGAAACTCCTAAAAGCCACACTAAAGTCAGACAGAGCTACAGTGGCTCTGGTTGAGTCATATTCTTTTTATATAAAGGCAAACTTGTTTTTTTATCCAACTTGGGATCAAATAGTGGCTTAATGGAAGGTTTTTCTTCATAGCACAATTGAGACTTCACATATCTTCAACGTAAAGTTTAATTTAATGTCATTACTTTTGAAATTATTTGGTATGCTATAAATACAATTTCATCAAATTGAACAAGACAAGGAGACGGCCTGATATATGTGCAGGTCTTATATTGGACTCAGAGGAATATGTTTTAATATTATTTTCACTCTTCGCTCTGCAAGTCAATAAATGGAACAAAAAAG